TTTTTTTTTTTCAAAACCAACTCAGGGGGGCCGGTTTAAGGCTCCTCCACCCCCTGAATTGGTCAGAATCCAAAGCCACTAGCACAATACATATCGGCCAATACAGGTCGATACATATCGATACTAGATCATTGTCTCATACTCTCATTGACACTTCGTATATGCCTTTAAGGTTGGCCAGCTTGCTCTAAAAAAGTGAGGGGTCACCATTCAAGCTGAACCTCATAAAGTTTATGTAATAAATATATATGTAGATTCGTGGCATGAAACCATGATGAATTTTAGTTTCAGTGTTATCACAAATGTGTATGGTATTTGATGAGGGGTGATTTGGCCCGACCTATCAATACATGGACACGTGGAGGTGACCTGTTGATTGGACATCGACTCAACACTTTCTGCCACCTCAGCAGAACAGGTCACTTTGGCCAAGATCGAAGTCTGAGCAGCTCGTGGTGCCACGAACTACCAAAGTGACATGTAGCCAACTTCTAGAAGTTAGCCAACTGTCTTCGAGCTTCACGGGACCACCCCACACGTCCTTAGGTCTTATCCTCATCCCGCCCAGATCGGACAAACACGATAAGCCTTATCGGATAGAACGAAGTCCACCTCCTGGTGCAGAACGGACTCCTAACAGCACAAACTGAGGATCTCGGAGGTGTTTCGTGAAACCCATGACAGCTCATCTATATAAGGGCGCCTACCCCAGTGATACAAGGTATGCGTGATTTAGTGCATTCTAGCTCTCTTACTCTCATGCTTTCAGCTCGCATAGACTAAGATATTAACTTAAGCATCGAAGCAACCACGCTGGATGAGCCACCCTGGGTTCTCTGAGCATTCCTTCTTTGTAGTTCGACCAACCAACTAAGCAATTGATGTCCAAACTTCCATCCAGCTAAGAGCAATCAGATTGTGCACTATCAGTATTATCCTAAAATACCTAAAAAAGCAACCTATTTTACATCTTAATTAGTTTATTTAATTATTTTTTGAGGTAATTTAAGCAAATAATTTTGTATTGTATGTTATTGTTATTCTCATGAGCGCTAACTATAGATGAACAAAGAATATGGCTTGGCCCCTTCTCATTTTTTGTACAAGAAATACCTATGAACTAATAGAGTATTTGACTTTTTTTTGTTACAATCTATTAGGGCAATTGCCCTCCCTATGCTTTTAGTTAAAGCTTCTATTAAATCATTGATTATGATCATATTTCTAGACATAGAATCACATTTTATTGAAAACAAAGATTTGTTAAGGGGTATGGGACAACACTTTATTTATTTATTTATTTATGTCTTGTTTGGCATCACTTCGAATGAGTGATTCTATGTTTGACATCATCTTTTGCCAACAATCTATTCAATCCACATGGAAAATGTGTGCCCACGGCCCGATTCTAAGAAGTGAAAATTTCTCACTTCAGGGAAAGGGGTTTTTCAACCCGCTAATTCTTGCTGCCTTTTTTAATAAAACGAACACGTGTGATCATGAGAAAATGGGTATGGAGGTAATTTCAGGCAAAAAAAAATATAACATCACGTTTCAAGGGGTGCAAATGGATTGGATCATCCGAGATTCTATCATATTTAGTCAAATTCCGATCACCCCTATCCAATCATATATATATATATATATATATATATATATATATATATATATATATATAATATACTTATAATTATAAATATATAATACATGTATTTATGTTATTTATTGATTTATAAATATATTTTGGATATTATATTATTTATTTAAAAAACATACATATATGATGAAAATAATTAAAAATTACTTGTATTTATTGTTTTTACTTTATTTTATTTATTTTTTAATAATTTATTAATTTTTAAAGAAAATAAGTCGGATTGGATAAATTCAACTTATTGATAGGATTCGAATTCAAATCGAGTCCTACCAGATCTAGTATGATCTTCGGAATTCAAATCTGGTCCAATCCGTTTGCATCCTTAATTGATTGTTCCGTGTTTAGTTCTCTTTGCTCAACAAGGTTTTTTTGGTTTTTGGGTAATTCGGTTTTTATGAATTTCGGTTTTTGGTTTCGGTTTTTAAAGTTAGAAATTTGGTTAACCGAAAAAAACCTGAATTAACTAAAATTTATTATATAATATGTAATATATAATATACAATATACAATATATAACATTTAATATATAATATGCTATATATTATATTGTATTATAATGAAATTCAAATTCATAACAATAATATATATATATATATATATWWTA